TCGTGACATAGTGCCGGATGGAAAAAGTGCTGGTTAGAGTGACCCGGAGTCCTTCGGCACTTGATTCCATCAGGAACCCACCCTCCTTAGGTACAGCTTTTTCCGAAGTTGCTAAGAACCCGTTGATAACATGCTTGTAGCTAAGGATGATGAATCTTTCTTCCGAATGAGCTCTGCACACAACACAGTTCTGTTGGAGTGGTTTGTCAGCGCGAGGAATCGCACGCTCCCAGGCTTTGTGTCATTCATCGTCGGCGGGAGTAGAGAAGACAGAAGCTTTCTTCCCTTGTTTGCGAGCCGAAACATATCCTGCTTTGCAACCCTGTGCAAAGCAGTGTCTTTGCTGTTTACCCATCACTGTGGCATGGCCACAGTGGCACGTATTAATCCCGAACAAGTCCAAATAAGCAAAGCGCAGACGTTGCGACTCGCAAGCACGTGAGCAAGCCACTAAAGGTGCAGCGCTAGCAACTGGCAAGTGCTCGCGATCGATCACGGTGGCGACTTGCGTGCCGCTCCCCGGCGAAATAGAATACCAGCACGCCTCCTTTCAAGGCATGGCCGGGACGATGCTGACACCTCTCTTTCTGGCCATCATACCTCTGCGCTGGCTGTGTGAAGAGGACGGCTCACTCAGCCGCGTGTAGCGTGGTTGTCGGGTCGAGCGGTAGTTTTGATAGAGCCGCGCCAAACGAGCGTCAAACTCCGCAGAAAACAATATACTTGACACACTACAGTCTTTTTTCTTTTTTATAGACTATTTGATAGACTAATTCATGTTGTTATATCCATTTACCAGTCAATTTTACTTCGTTACAACGAATTTAAAATTCATAGTTCTCAATGGAGCTTTTAAGGGGAATTTCATTTACTTCCTTTATATCCCATTACATTATAACGAGGCTTGAGTGTACTTCATTCCAGTATTGCACCCCGATTGAAGGACCATATCGAAAGTGCTGAAAGACAAAAGGCGACGCATCGTAGATTTATGCCTGAGAAAATATTGTCAACGTGCTATATCTGCAATGAAAAATCGTCCTCTTGCAACTGTGAACCGGATCATTCAAGTGTACAGGTATGAAGGAAGCATTGGAGACGCCCCTCGGCAACCTCGTCGTCCTGTGACTACAAAGGACGAAGACCTGCAAATTGTGGAAGCCTAGCGGAACAGCCACAAACTACATTCCGAGAAGTACAGGCTGACATTGGACTCAACCACATTTGGCTACAACTGTGAAGTGCCATCTCTACGAAGCAGGACATAGAAGCCGAACGAACGGCTGTGAAGAAGGCGCTCATGTGTGCTGAGAACAAGGCGAAGCGGCTTCAGCTTGCTGAAGATCATGGCCACTGGTCTGAATCTGACTGAAAACGTGTGGTATTCACAGACCAGTCCACTTTCACAAATAGGTGAACAAACATTAGTTTGGCGCCCCGTGAACAGGCGGCACGTAAAGCAGTGCTTTTAAGCTTTCAAGAAGCAGTAGTGTTTGTGTGAATTTCGGCCGCTGCTTTCCGCAGCGCTAGTTACCTGTGATATGACTGTACAGTTAGTGGTAACACTTCATTGATTCTAAGTTAGCAGCTAAATATTGTCAAAATCTTCTTTCAGTTAGTTAATGCAAGGTGTATATGATATCTAACAAGAAGGTAATTCATTCGAGTTTATCAGACACTGATAACATCCCCTCTAACTTTCATTGTTATCTAGAACACTAAACAATGTTATATAATACACTTAACCAAGTGCCTTTTATGGTACGCATGATAAAAAGTGTACGTATATTAAGCAAGTTTATATTGCAAATCCTTCGTAACCCTGTTTGAACTCTTAAGGTAACCCACGAAGACGACTTTCATTTTTACAGTGGATGCACGTGTGACTCGCAGATTTCGGAAAGCACGCGTCAAAACGTCTGTAGACAATGCGCAGGCCAACTGGTCGACGACTATGGCACCTAGGGCCTAGTCGGATAAAGCTCGCTGTCTATTTTTATAAAAACCTCACTTTGCCCTTTGAGTTTCTTTCATAATATCCACGATAGAATGAAAAATACGAGTAGCTACCACTATTGTTTCGCTCCAATGCCCAATGTCACCAAGCCAACCACAAAAAAATTGCCTATCATTGACTCGGTCAGTACCTTGTTGCACTACTATTTTCCACCTGCAAATGCTGCAGCATCATAAAGCCAACTTTGTCCATTGCTAAAATATATTTGTTCATTTCCTGCAGGTATATTCCGTGATACATACAGCGAGTAGCCACCAGTGGCCGAATTTCAGTGACTGTTTGGGGGACAATCACAAAGAATGGCCCCGGTCCTCTCGTCAGGGTGCATGGCTGTTTCACGGTTGAGAGCTAGAGCTCCATTCTAGACAATGTGGCGTGCCCCGCCACGGTGGTCTAGTGGCTAAGGTACTCGGCTGCTGACCCGCAGGTTGCTAGATCAAATCCCGGCTGTGGCGGCTGCATTTCCGATGGAGGCGGAAATGTTGTAGGCCCGTGTACTCAGATTTGGGTGCACGTTAAAGAACCCCAGGTGGTCAAAATTTCGGGAGCCCTCCACTACGGCGTCTCTCATAATCATATGGTGGTTTTGGGACGTTAAACCCCACAAATCAATCATTAGACAATGTGGCCTTGCATACAGTTATCTTTGGGGCACGCGGAGAATGGCCAGTCGGTAGACGCCACCCGACGAAAAGGGAAGTTATTTAAAAAAAGGCTGTGCAGGCACGGACTAAGCCGTTCGCCTCTAAACCCCGCGAGCTTTTGTTCACCGCACCTTGTGCTGGTGAGTCACCCGCATGGTGTAAGCATTCTCACGGTCAGCCAGACTGAGAAATAAGTGGTCCCTGTCGCGGCACCGCTTCCGACACGACAATGTGGCGCCATGCTGTCACAATATGTAGGGATAGACTGCAGCATCCTGTGTACTAACTCCAGAAAGCTGACCGGCCGTCTAGACAGGCTTGTTGTCGCACGAAAGTATTTTTTTAAGCTGTACGTTGACAAAATGACGGAGTTCTTCTTTAGCCCGATTTTCTTGGAGGATGAGGTTAGCAAAGTGTGGGAACGCAGAGGCGGAGACACGTCTGCGAGGAAAGGAGAGTTGTTTGCTGCATTGGTAGAGCATCGAGAAGGGGTTCGTCCCACGAGACGGGAGGTACTTATTAAAGAGAAATGGAGAGGAGAGAAGCTTGGTGCTCGAGAACAATCGGGAAGCGGGGACAGAGGTCGTGCTTAGCGCCGACTCTGATTCAAGGCTGATACTACATCGAGAAGTCAGTGTGTGGAGTATATGAAGGGCTCGGCAAGTCACGCCGACGTTAATACAGCTCCGTGCTTACTGTGCGGTCAGTTTAGTGGCTGCCTCGGCCTTTGCTTATAAGTGTCTGTGTGTAAATAAACTGAAGTTTGCCAGGAAGTAAGCAACCAGGCCTGTATAGTTTGTCAACATGCTGCCGTGGCCTTTTGAACCATCGGGATTACATCCATCATCCCAATCTTAACTCGTACCTTTTGGGCGAATCGTTTCCAGGTGGAGACTTCATCCTTAAACAATACCCCTCCCCAGTACACAAGTTCAAGCTGACTTCCTCTTTCCTATAAGAGCATGGATTTGCCGTGATGGAATGGCCCCCACAATCCCCAGACGTTAACATCATTGAGAACATTTGGGTAAACATGAAGGCAGCGTTGTGCTCCCTCAGCCTACATAGCTTTTCTTCGCACACCCTGCGGTCAGCAGTACAAGACTGCTGGCAGAAAGCCAGGGTGAATGTTGAGACATGCGACGCCTTGTATGCATCTCTTCAGGATAAAATGAGGACGGTGGTCGAGGCTTATGATGATGCGACCCACTTCTAAATGATCTAATTATCTAAGTTCAGCAGTTCAGCTAACTGAAAAGACATTTGCAAATGTCCCAACATATTTTTACTTTCAGATGAGCTTGAACAGAACTTTTTTTCTTATTTCTTGACCAGATGAGAGTAAATCATGGGTATGTATTCTTCCGAGTTCTTTTTAATGCAGTGCATTGCAGCCAGTACATTTCTCTAAAGCGTTCACACTTAATACCTGGCATGATACACTCAGTTATATTTTTTACTATGCTTTCCGCGGCGTCCAACTTTGGGCTGATCAAAAAAGTCATGTGAGGTGGGGGAATATTCTTTCTGTTTCGCCGAATCACTAATTGGTGGCAGCGGCAGTGCAGCATGAAAGTTTTGCTTCATGTATAGGGCGAGGTTGATCACTCGTATGATCGCTTGCAGAAAAGGTACAGTCACTTCGTTTCTCGAGAACCGCGCAGGCTTCTCAATTTGTGTGCGCACATAACAAGAGTGATGCCTGATTCACTGCAAAGCAGATGCAATTCGATCGAGCGGCCGGGCTCTAGCAGACAACGTGGGGAAGGCCCCGCCTACAGCTGTCAATACGCATGCGCGCTAGTTTCCGAAGCACCTGACACAGGCGCTCCGCAGAGCGCCGACCGCACGCCATGATGTTCAGGGTAGAAGTAGACGGCTCTGTACATGACTTCAGAATTCTCTATCAAGCAGCAAATTCATTCGGTCGAGTAGATTCCAAGACATATTGAAACAATCAGGAAAGGAAAAAAGGAATGCGTCAGCAGCGTGCGCAATGTTTGTCCTTGTATTATCAAGATTATTTTAGTGTAACTAACATTATCACAAACAAATAATAGAAAATTCAGCATCTGCTTCAAAGCACATCCTTTTCTCATACAATTCTCCCTTGCAGTATATACAAAAATCAAGAATGAGCAGGTTTAGAAAAACTGCACTTAAAAACACAATTTTGTGCCCTTCACTGTGCTCTCTTGTGTCTGAATTTGAGTAAAATAATTTTTAAATCGTGAAAATTTTCAGTGCAACAACTTGAACATGCCTCCCCACAGCAACTTTCACAGAGCCTCTCTCGTGGGTCATCAATAAATTAGTAAACATTTTCATAGAAAACTCACTCATAAGGGGGCTGCCCACAGATGTTCCCCTGGCTGTCAGTAGGGTAAATGAGGCGCTCAGGATTGCCACTGCGATATGCTGAAAGACAAGGACTCGGTCACAACATAGCTGGTAACAATGCATGTAAGTGATGCCAGGAACCTTGACTAAATGAAGTGAAAACCACAATGTGATATTAAACCAAGCCGAAATGAAGAACTAAATTATAGCTGCATAACAGACTCATCTTTTTGCTCTTTGAGTGGGATATCTATTTTTAAACCAAGTTTAAATGTCGCAGTAACCAGTACAAGATGCTGCCCTGTGGACAAAATTTGGTACATAGAAGTTGTTCAGACCAGTGTACAGAATCTGCTGTTATTTAAGCACACCATTTATTTGTTTTTTTGCTTAAAATTACAATCTTGTTCCAATAGCAAGATTTATCAAGCAACAGCAGCAACATAAGATAATTAATCAGGCAATGCAGCATAAATATATAAAGAATGCAAAATGAAAGCTGCAGCGGAAAAGGTTGGCTGAGGGGACTGATGGTCAACAAAATGGCAGAGGTAAACTTCTCAACATACAAACTATGCGCGACAGGCAAGATCCTCGTTTTAGAGCAGCAGTAGCCAGTAACCACTTTGAATGATCTTTCGGCTCTGGCCTACTGTACTCATATTTTTCTACTGAGTGACATAAAAAGCACTCTGACTTACCAAAGAATGCCACAATGGCCCATCCGAAAAGGAAGAAAACGAACAGGAAGAGGCAGATGATGTCTGTGCAGCTCCTGCAAAACAGTGAAGTGGGACATTCTATCCAGACATTCCTTGCCATTAAGATAATTATATTCTTTATTGAAAGCCATTCATAGCACACTTTTTCCCATGCATGAAATGTTGCACCAAATTAGAAATTCAAGCACTACTCTGAAAGCTGGTGTTTTAACAGGAAGGTTACAGCCTGGCTATGTGAGTATATGAGAATGAGCTATGAAATTTCGATTAGGTTTGCAATAAAAATCCAGTCACTTAAGAAACAAGCGTTTTATTTATAGTACAGCTATTCTTTAGCAAAAAAAAACTGCCGAGAGAAGCACCATTGAAAAAAACTGAAGCGTTAGGTGTAGAAAAGAAACTGCAATAAAACATATTCCGACTAAGTAAACGACACAAATGGCACACCTAAAGAAGCCAAAACTGATACTATTATGAAATATACCATAATTGTACAGCACAGTTTTCCAAAACATCCACATAATAATGCCCTCCACCGATAAACAGCGGCTTGTATCAAATTTTGGAAAGTTTTAAAGAATTCATACATAAAGTACTGCAGGTCATTGTAACAACTTATTGGAGAAATATTTTGGGTGTAGAAGTAGCTATAGTCCCAGCAATGACACGTGAAATGGAGAGCCATGTGCCCCAAGCACCAGTCAAAAGAGGCACCCTCATGAGCGTTGCAAAATTTTGGTCCCCCTCCCCGATTGACGGGGTATAAATGGCAGATAATGCTACACCAACTACAGCCTGCAAAATTGTAGACAATCCTATGTCAACTTGCCATCATTCCCTTCATTCTGCATGGATGCCACATGTTTGTGAACTGGAACCACTCTCCACAGGTTGTTTGCAAGAGCTTAGGGATATCGTGCTAGAGCCAGGTATATTCAAAGCCACCCGTCTTCAGACATTTCACCTCCCCAATAAGAAGTGGCGTTAACATATGATGATTAGTGGCACTGATTGGCGCAAGAGCAATTTGTAGCCAAAAAGCACAAAGACATGGTGTAATGTGAATGTAATAAGAGAGGAACAACAATAAAAATGTTGCTGTACAGGGACCTAAAGTACTCTGCACCAAAATGCATAAAATAAAGAGCAAAATTAAGGTAATCATATCATGGTTATTGAGCTGTACTAATGAACATGTAAATAATATGTGGGAATGAACTTCTACAAAGGTTGAATAAAACAAGCATGTGAAAGCTATTGTGGGCCAGAGCATGATCAACCCCTTCAGCAGAGGAGGCGACGTTTGCATATGCAACTTGTTTATGCCAACTCAGTAAACTGGTGGTCACAAGGGAGCAAGTTACATTGCTCATTGAATAAACTGAACCTTTCCCTTTGTCATTGTCAACATACCTTGACTTAATCGCAGTGTGCTGCGGATCACAGTAACTTAACACTTTGGCAAAGGCACTACAATGATTGACAAGTCATTCGACGTGCCGCGTTCAAAAACCAAAGTCAAAAGTATTATTTTTCTTTACTGGAAATGAATAGAATCAAAAACTACTTGCGCACACACTTGGACCCTACGTTTTCTTTTTTTTTTTTTATATCAAAATGCAACATATCTGACAAGAGAACAATTAAATATATTATTTCATGCTTGAAAATCATGCCAAACAATAAATTGTTTCATTTTTTTTATTTGAATGTTATTTGACTGCCTTGGAATTATGCTATATAACTTTGACACATTCGTAGACAGTGCATCATAATTGGCACCTGAAAGGGTTATATGCTACTATCACACCAATGTTAATGAGAAATTATTGGCAATGATACCAAGAAAAGAATAGCGGATGTTATTAGAAGTAATTGTGATGTAAATGTAATGAAATAAGAGTGGATGCAAAGATAACTTGCCACCGGCAGGATTCGAACCTGCGACCTTCGAATAACACATCCGACGAACACCAGTCGCATTATACGAAGGTCAGAGGTTTGGATCCTTCTGGTTGCAAGTTATCTTTTCGTCCACTCTTCTTTCATAACATACATCACAATTAGTTTGTTGTCTGTTAGTTCTCATCAATACTGTCTAACAAAGAAAATGAGGTCTTAAGTTTACACTTATTTCTATCACACAGGGGTGCAACAGCCAAACAGAATTTGGAGCAATTTTCGGAGCAGCAAAATGTTACTTTTAGAGCAGGTCAAAACACTTTTTTTTTCACAAATACTAAATTCAAAGCAGTATAAAAAAGAAGGCTTACATTGAGAAAAAACCATGTACAACAATTGAACATCCCCTAAAATCATGCACAGCGATTATGACCTTTACTATTTAAATAAAAGCAGCATTTTGAACCACCCCATTCAGCAAACATGTGATAAAGGCCATTTAGCATTTACTACACTTCTCCAATCCTTTGACACTCTCCGAGAATTTAAATGTACATCTTCCAAGCTAGCAACTATGAGATTTAGGAGATTTGTAAAACTGAAGAGTAGAGCAAGGTGTGGGAGCAGGCTAGTTGGTAATCCATGTCTTAAACAGCTGAAGTGCAAAAAGGTAACAACGGACTGGACTTTAGTTGTTTAAGACATGGAATACTAACTAGCCTGCTCCCACACCTTACTTCAGTATACTTCTAGCCTATCGGGCTCTAAATTTTGTAAATTTTCACCCCTTACTGCTTGTAACCTTGAATTAGCACTTGTCCTTGTTATTTCCTTAGTCTGTTGTTACCTTTTTGCACTTCAGCTGTTCAAGACATGAAGAGTAGGGGCCGGGAAAAAAAAGAAACTGCCGCCCAGTTGCGTTCAATTTTTTAGGGCAGCCGACACGTCATATACTGCTACATATGATTTCCAACAACTTTTTTTAGACGTCAGTGATCATATCAGCACCCACAATTATTCAGTGTATATATACACGCATGAGTAACTGAACAAACTGTTCTGTGCATAGGCGTATCGGTGGGGAGGCAGGGAGGGGTGCGAGCCCAACCCCTCCCCCTCTCAGCAAAGTTTATGGGGACTGAGCCCCCCCTCACTTTAGACAGTGGTCACTCTTGGCTGCATGCTGGGGAAACCAACAAATAAGGCATTTTTGATCACAACAGTAATCACTCAATTTTGTTCTTACGGGAGAATGAAATTGTTACCAGGCTATGTTACAACATAGTGCAATTTTGCCAACATTTCCGCTGTAATGATTTCCTTTGTATGCTCTCATATACATTGCCGTGATATATTGGCCGCATTCAAATAGCCGCATTCACCGATTCACCAAGCATCAGCTGTCGACAGGACACGTCAAACACCGAAGGAAAGGAATGCCCCATTCCGTAAGGGGCGCCACTGCAGACATCTCTTGAGCAGCCTCAGGAAAGCACGCAATGCCAAGTTCGTAAACTCATGTTACAACGAGAGAGACTGCAACGAGGGCATAGACGGACGCAAAATTCAACGAAAGCGCACTCACCAATAAAAGAACATCGGAAAATAAGATCTCTAAACCAAAGACCAATTCAAGATGTCGGGCACTTTCGCACAAAAAAAAGTCACCAGAAACACTCCCTGCACCTGCTATTACACCGACTGTACCACCACAGAAAACGCCGAGAAAGACGCAAAAGCACTGCTTGCACACCGCAAGAACTCACGCACTTCGTCAGTCTGTCAAAAAGCACGGAAGCAAGAAGCACCGGGATTGCACCATTCACGACGAAAAATACAACCCCGACGACATCTGAGCTGCCGATGCAACAATGCGTTCCAACCTTGCTCAGTCCCCAGAACAGTTCAAGCAGTATTGTCAGTGTTCATGTGTAGCCCACTCTGTCCGGAACGCAACAGTCAAGCTCGTCCACCAGAGTCGTCATAAAAATCGCCGGACAGCTCCCTCGGCCTTGAAGATTTAGTGAGATTGTGAGACTCTGCCGGGACGTGAAACTGTGAATATGGCCATTATTTTGTTTATTCTCTGCAATTTGTTGTAGCTTGTAACCGGTGCCATCTTTCGAGGGGAGGGGGAATCCTGTGACGTAAGAAAGCAGGGATGGTTAGGAGAAGTGGAGGAGGAAGAAGTGAGAATGAAATAAACATGGCGTATGAGCCAGGCCACCGTCGCCAATACATCATAGCGTCCCATATATATATATATAATTACGCAAATATCTTTATGGGCATGTTGGAAGCTAACTTCATAGAGAATACACCTTTGAAACCATGCTTCTACAAACGCTTCATCAATAACATCTTCATGATTTGGCCACATGGCGAAGCAAGTCTTTTAAGTTTCATTAAGAATTTCAACAATGCCCACCCCCCCATTACTTTCACCCATAATTACTCATCAACAACGATAAACAACGATAAACGTTCGGTCACTGCGTCTTGCTGAGACGTTCGAAGATAGTGGCTGGTTGATGAAGTGGCCGCCAGGTCTTATCCTGCCTCACCAATGTCGAAATAAAGAGATAGTCTCACAAATTTTGAAATGCACGTGTTGTCTTCTTCCTCGCTAAGACTTGAGGGGAGAGAGTGGCAGTCCGGTGATATAAATAAGAGATCTGGCGGGCGAGGCTGATGGTTGCGTCCTGGATGACACAAAAATGCTTTGGACGTGGAGATAGCGGAAATCGCAGCCGGCATTCTTGTGAAGAAGAAACGAGGTTCGAATACCTTGCAGAATTGACAGTTCGGATATCGTAGGCATCGAATTCTTCGTCGTGGCACAGGTCGTGCAGGCAGCTTGCGTGCGCGTTGATCGAGGTTGATTGGGCGCTGCCTGTGTTTCTGCCGAGTACAAGGGGTGCTTTTGTGGCTTTTGGAGATTTTTCTATGGCGATGTCGCAGATGTTTCGATGGAAGGCACATTCTTGATCTTTGGTGGACAATGTATCCACCACGATGGGCCTTTTTGTAATGTTCTTTAAGCCTTAAGAGTGCACTCGATGACGTTTTCTTTCGTCGTCGACAATGTTGAAGTATACGTTGACGTTGTAGTTTCTTGGTTTCGTCAACTTGCTTGTGATGTGACATTGATCGCGGTACGCCAGGATTCTTGGCGAGTTCTTCGCAGGCTTCTACAAT